GTCCGGAAGGCCCGGTCCGCCAGCGGGGTCCACCACACCCGCGTTGGCTCCGTGTTCTTTACCATCTCTGTCAGAGGCGCCGCGAGGGTGGCAAATTGCGGCACGAACCGTCTATAATAACCCGCGAACCCCAAAAACTGCCGCACCTGTCTCTTCGTCGTCGGCCTCGGGTAGTCACGGAGTGCTTGGATCTTACTGTAGATCGGTTTCAGTTTCCCCTTCCCGACTGTGTACCCCAAGTAAGATGCCACTTCGTGCAACGCGAGGTACTTTTTCGGGTTGGCCGTGAGGCCAGCCTGGCCAAGGGCTGTGAGTATTTCTTCCAGGTGTTTCAGGTGTTCCTCCCATGTCTGGCTATAGACGACAATGTCATCTATATAGGCGGCGGAGTACTCTTGGTGGGGGGGTCAGTACACGGTCCATTACTCTCTGGAAGGTGGCTGCCGCCCCGTGTAGCCCGAAAGGCATCGTGATAAAGTGGAATAGCCCCACGGGGGTCGAAAAGGCCGTCTTCTCCCTGGCTTCGGGGTCTAGCGGGATCTGCCAGTAACCCTTTGAGAGGTCCAAGGTCGATATGTAAGCGGCTTGGCCTAGCAGTTCGAGGAGCTCGTCCACCCGAGGCATAGGGTAGGCGTCGAAGAGGGAGATCGAGTTGATTTTCCTGAAATCAATACAGAACCGCGTCGACCCGTCCGGTTTCGGGACCAGGACAATTGGGCTCCGCCATTCACTCCTTGACTCTTCTATCACGCCCCACTGCCGCATCCGCTGAATTTCCTTGGCCACGATGTCCCACACCTTCCAGGGTAACGGCCGGAGCGGTTCCCGGATGATCTTACCGCCCTCTGTCACTATTCGATGTGCCCCCAGGGTCGTGTGCCTGGGTCGGGTGGTAAGGGTCCGTTGATGTTGCCAAAGGACGTCTTGTAACTGCCCCCGCTGCTGGGCCGTCAACTCCGCCCCTATTTCACCCTCCCCTTCCAGCTCCTCCTCCCCGTCCCAGGGTCCAAGGTCCTCTCCTTCGGAGGGCGTTGCGATCATCAGGGCCTCGCAGGGTACCCACTTTTTCAGCAAGTTCACGTGGAAAACCTGGGTGCCTCGCCGGCTCCCCGTCAGCTTTATCTCGTAGTCCACCTCTCCTATTTTCCTGACCACCTCAAAGGGCCCCTGCCACTGGGCCAGTAGTTTGGACTCCTTCGTTGGGAGCAGGAGCATCACCCGGTCCCCTGGTCGGAACTCCCTCCGACGGGCCTTGACGTCGTAATACCGGGCTTGGCACCTCTGTGTTTCTTCCAGGTTTAACCAGGTGTATTCCCCGAGCTGGCTCAACCGCTCTCGTAGCAGCGTGATGTACTGGACGGTTCCCCTTCCCGTGGTGGCTTGGCTCTCCCATCCCTCGCGCAGCAGGTCTAGAATCCCCCGGGGGTGGCGTCCGTATAGGAGCTTGAAGGGCGAAAAGCCCGTTGATGACTGGGGGACTTCCTGAATCGCGAACAGGAGGCCGGGGAGCATCTGATCCCATCCTCGGGGGTCGTCCTGCACGAATCGCCTCAACATTCCCTTTAGCGTCTGATTGAATCTTTCAACCAGCCCCTCCGTCTGTGGGTGGTAGACTGAAGTTTGGAGCCGCCTAATCTTCAACAGGCGGCACAGTTCCCGGATGACCTGGGAGGTGACGTTCGGGCCTTGGTCCGTAAGAATTGCCTGGGGGAGGCCTACCCTTGAGAAGATCTTCATCAATTCTCGGGCTAGGGTAGGGGCTTTGGTATTCCTGAGTGGGACCGCCTCGGGGTAGCGGGTCGTGTAGTCTCTTACTACCATGATATACCGGTGCCCCCTCCCCGAGGGTTCGAGGGGCCCTACTAAATCCATCGCCACGCGTTCGAACGGCACCGTGACTATGGGGAGGGGTACCAATGGCGCTTTCGGCACCCGGGCTGGGGCGGTGCGCTGGCACTCGGGGCAGGACTTGCAAAAGTCGCGCACAGCTCGGAACACCCCGGGCCAATAAAACCTCTGTAGTACCCGCGCTAGTGTCTTTTCACGCCCAAGGTGGCCCGACCACGGTTTGGCGTGTCCTAGTTCTAGGACCTCCCATTGGAACCGCGCAAGGACTACTAATTGTTTAAGTTCCCCCCCCCTTTCTCTGGTCACCCGATAAAGGCGGTCGTTCAGTATCTGGAAGCCCGGTCCTTGGGCTGGGGAGTCCAGGTCCCCCTCCGATTCCTCTGGGCCAACCGCCTGCTCTCAGGCATGCTGGAGCGAAGGGTCTTGTCTCTGCTCTACCACAAAGTCCGGGGCCTCCTCCACCTCTAGACACGTCCCTCTCTCGGGGCTTTCAAGTATTCGTCGCTCGGCGATCCGAGTTCCCTAACTCTGCAGTAATCGTCCGAACTCTGGCCAGTCTCGTCTGATTAATACGGGGTAGGGTAGATGTGTGGCCCTCCCCACTCTCCAGGTTCGATCCTGCCCGCCCCCGGCTAGGCGGACCCAGGCGGTGGGGTACGCCTTCATGTCGCCGTGGACACATTTCATCCACACGGGCTCCCTGGTGGGCTGTCCCGGGGGAATCAGGTCCGCCCATACCAACGTTATCGTCGTGCCCAAGTCCACCAGGGCCTTAACGCACCAGCCCTCGACCCTCATGTCGGCGAGAACTCTCTGTTGCCCGGTTTCCCGCCCTCCGGGGGCTTCAGCCCGCTTCTCTTGGGCTAGGGTACAGTCCATGAGCGGGCAGTCCCGTTTAAAGTGCCCCTCTTGCCCGCACTGGAAGCAGGGTCCCTGCGGGCCGGGTCTGAGGTCTCTCGGGGTTGTCTTCCCCCTCCGGTTTCTCCGGGGCCTTAGTAGGCCACACGGGGGCCAGCCGGGGGATATTGTCCCTCCCTCGCCGGTTCCCCGGGGCCTGAGCCCTCTCGGCGGGCTTACCTTGGGGTCGCGAGCCCCCGGTCTTCAGGCCCGGTAGTGTCTCCCGTCAGCTGCCTCCTTCTTCCGCCTCGGCCAAGAGGTGGGCCTCCATCAGGCCCACCGCCTCGTTCACGGTCGTGGGTCGGTTTCTTCGCACCCACAGCTGTCCATCCCGAGGCAGGATGTGGACGAACTGCTCCAGGACTATGAGCTTCAGGACCTGGGTCCCCGTTTTGTGTTCTGGTTCTAACCACAGGGCCGCCCACTCCCGGAGGCATTGGGCCACCGCCCTAGGTCGATCCCCTGCCCTGAAGGACTCCTGCCGGAATCTCTGTCGGCAAGTTTCGGGGGAGTGGCCCTGTCAGGTACGGGGCCAGCAGGGAGACAAGCTCCGGTAGGCCAGCTGGGCAGGCCCTGTCAGGTACGGGGCCAGCAGGGTGGCCCATTGTTCCGGGGCCCAACGGGCTGCGGTCGCCACCCGCTCAAATGTTGTAAGGAAGGCCTCCGGGTCGTCCTGGGGTCCCAACTTCGTAAGCCGGAGGGGTAGGCCGGGTCCTTCCCCGGGTCCTGGGGGGTTGCTCGCCGGCGTTCCTAATCTTTTTTCCACTGTCTGGCGCCATTGGTCCTGCTGCGCTGCCAGTTCCCGTACCAGCTGCCGCTGGTGCTCCTGGAACTGCGCGGCAAGCTGCTGAATCAGCTGCGCCCGCT